GACCTGTAGATTTAAGCATCCGCAATTGTCAAATTGAAAAACTGTCGAATTATATGGCTCGTCATTTAAAACTTCTTTTTTGAAACTAAACGGATTGTTTTTGTTTTTTTTTTAAATAAAATATGAATAGCGATGATGAGGAAGTGTGTGCCTTAGCCGCTTATTATATATTGCTGAGCGGTCAGTGCTTATTGAAGAAAAAGAAAAAGAGGCGTTGGTGGATGGGAGCACTGAATAAAAGTCGTGAAAGGTACGTATTGAGTCGACTTGCTTTTATTTGTTTTTACTTTCCTTATCTCCTCATAAGTAGGAAAGTCGTGTGATGTTCACACCAGATTTTTTGACATTACTTCCTATACCTATATTAAGGAAAGTATTGTAATCGCCCAACATTTTCTAATTTTTAACTTTTAAGCTACTCCTTCTATTGCCGTTTTAAAGCGCTTTTAAAAATTCTGCAAAAAAAAAAGTATAAATTTATTTCTCTTTCTTATTGTTTGTAGGTACAATGCTAGCAATATGCTGTGCGATCTGAGAAGCCAACCATCAGGCAGATTTGAGAATTTTTGCCGAATGACAGCTACTGATTTTGAAAATTTGTTGAGCAGAATCGGGCCATTCATAGCGAAACAGGATACCAACATGAGAAAATGTGTTCCCAGTCAAGAAAGACTAGCGATAGCATTACGATTTTTCGCCACAGGCGATTCTTTTGCAAGTTTATCCTACTTATTCAAGGTCTCAAAGCAAACCATCTCCAGATGTGTTGATGACGTGTGTCTGGCCATAATACAAGAACTGAAAGACGAAGTGGAGGTACATATTTATTTTGTAGAATTATAATAGTCTCATCTCGGTAGTATAAACAAAGTATTCTAAAAAAAAAAAAAAAAATAATAATAATTTTAAAGTTGAAAAAATATTGAATATTTAAAATATTGAATTTAATTGAATTTTTTATTATTTTGTTCAAACATATTTTTAAAATCTATAGTCTTTCAATTTCTGAGAAATTTGTAAAGAAGTCAGCTGCA